GAAAAGATAAAAAAAAAAAAAAAAAAAAAATTTAAATAAAAAAAGTAATTGATCATTATAAATATTTTCAATATAGTTTTTAATCTCTCTTCTGACTAGTTTTTATTTATATTCCTGCTAATAGCTTAAAGACACTATTTTGAAAGAATTCATAGCTTGCATTGTTGTAATCATTATAGATTAAACTAAGTAATGTGCCTAATACAGAGTTATAATATGTATTAAAAAATTAATTCAAATATAATTGAATATTTTAAAGAAATTAACAAAAAAAGTTTTATTTTTGAAATCAGATAAATATAAACAATTGCCATATAAATAGCATTAGTTATGATTATATATAATTTTTGTTTCAGTAATCATTTTTTAATTTGACTTTTTATATTATTTATATAAATGTTTGTAAAAAATTTAATTAAAAAGTTTTGTATTTAAATTAATTAGATAAAATTTAAAATAATTCATTTGATTATAGCAAAATAACATTAATTTATCATTGAATTACAGCATTCAACTTTATACCTTAATAATAATAATGTAGCTTTAAAAGAAAGAAATGAAAATAAAAATTATTACACTTTCACTGTTGTTTTAATGTGATTATTAGAAGAATTTTGATTGACTGTTTGTTTGAATTTTGAAACTTTGAATTTAATATGTTCTTAATATAAATTTAAACTATAATAACATTGAACTCAGAGAAAATATATTCTATTAAGACTATTTTTGATGGCTTTGAAAAGTTTTCAATCCCAAAATTTTTTAAATCCCAAAAGAAAAATGCCAAAAAATTATGACAGATCTGTCATAATTTTTTGGCATTTTTCTTTTGGGATTTAAAAAATTTTGGGATTGAAAACTTTTCAAAGCCATCAAAAATAGTCTTAATAGAATATATTTTCTCTGAGTTCAATGTTATTATAGTTTAAATTTATATTAAGAACATATTAAATTCAAAGTTTCAAAATTCAAACAAACAGTCAATCAAAATTCTTCTAATAATCACATTAAAACAACAGTGAAAGTGTAATAATTTTTATTTTCATTTCTTTCTTTTAAAGCTACATTATTATTATTAAGGTATAAAGTTGAATGCTGTAATTCAATGATAAATTAATGTTATTTTGCTATAATCAAATGAATTATTTTAAATTTTATCTAATTAATTTAAATACAAAACTTTTTAATTAAATTTTTTACAAACATTTATATAAATAATATAAAAAGTCAAATTAAAAAATGATTACTGAAACAAAAATTATATATAATCATAACTAATGCTATTTATATGGCAATTGTTTATATTTATCTGATTTCAAAAATAAAACTTTTTTTGTTAATTTCTTTAAAATATTCAATTATATTTGAATTAATTTTTTAATACATATTATAACTCTGTATTAGGCACATTACTTAGTTTAATCTATAATGATTACAACAATGCAAGCTATGAATTCTTTCAAAATAGTGTCTTTAAGCTATTAGCAGGAATATAAATAAAAACTAGTCAGAAGAGAGATTAAAAACTATATTGAAAATATTTATAATGATCAATTACTTTTTTATTTAAATTTTTTTTTTTTTTTTTTTTTTTAGCATATATGTTGCATGACACCAGTTCAAGTATGACTATTGGCATACAATGTATTAAATGCAACTTCTTTCTTTACTTTACATTGTTAATTTTATATTTTAATTATATATTTAGCTTGTGTCCAGAAAACTGGAAAATCCAGAAATATTGACCCATTTCTGGTCCCAAGTTTGATAGATATTTCGTCTGGTACCATATAAACAGTTCAATGTTAACAATTAAACAGTTGCATGTTTATAACTATAGTGCACTCTTGCTAATCTGAACTAATTATTGTATAGCATTGCTCAGATTAATAGGGTTATACATAAACAAGAAGGAAGTAAAAAAATTATAGACAAATACATATATTTAAAACATTTTGGTTCATATATACTACATATAACATTAATATATTACATTATTACATTAATACATATATTACATATAACATTAATATTATTTTTTTTAATATGAAAAATCAAAAAAAAAAAAAATTAATTTTATATTTTTAGGATGTAACAATTTTACAGAAATATGAATAAAGTTTCTTCAAATTAGGAAGGATTTTAATTAATAAGAGTATATTGTATTTAAATTAATTTTTGTTTAGCTTAATAAAATGAATTTATTGTTATTATTAATAAAATATTTTGAATATATTTTCTCTAATTACTTATTCATTAGTTAATTATTTACATGTATTTGTGTTTTTCATTTATTTTGTCTTGTTTTATAATTTGTAAATAAAATAAAATCTAAGAAAAATTAGACATTAAATTTTCTTGACTAGTGTTGCTACCAGGCGAGTTTTCATCTGGACAAGCCAGTTTTTAAATTCATGGTCCAGATTAATTATTAATTTGTCTGGTTTTCAGATGTTTTTAATGAACTTTGCATAATAAAGAGTAGGAATTGTGGAGGACAAATTAAAAGCAGAAAAAATAATTCATAGTTATGGACATTTATATTAAAAAGGGAAATTTTTCAAACATTCAGAGGTTAATTGAATTTATATTTAGCATTCCAACTTCTAATATGTAGGTTGAAAGATATCTCTTCAATGAATAACTGATGGTGGGATAAAAGAAACAGATTAACAACAGAAAATGTTAAAGCTGAACTACTAATTTGCAGAAACATAAAAATTAAATGTAAAAATTTTTACGAAGAAATAATAAAAAATAAACTTTTTAGAAGCCGTTAGGAACAACCAAAAACATGTTTTTAAGGTGGTAAATAAGAAATAATGTAATATTTATTTATTATGTAATTTTTCTCAATTATTTTCATATAGTTTATTATTATATGTAACCAAATGTCTATATTTATATTATATATTGTATAAGATATAATATCTTTTGTAATGTAATATTATTAATGTTGGTATGTGTTATATTTATTATTCTTACTTTTATGTATTATTTTTGCAATTAATATTGACATCAAACTGTTATTAATTACTTTTGGATATGCCACGTGATTATTTTATTACTTTAATAATATATGTACTGTACCTTGCAGTAAACACTTGACCAGACATTACACATGTGACAAGCATTCTAAGTCAGTTCAACAAAGTGCTCAGACCAAAACTGGAAAAGTGTTAAATATGTTTTTCAATACTTAAAAGGAATGTTAAATCACAGTTTGGTTTATAAAAGAAATGACTCATCCCAAAATAATAGGATATGTGGATGCAGATTGGGGAGGAGATCTCAAGAATCATGAATCATATTTATTTACATACAGAGATGGTGCTATTAGTTGGGAAAGCTGGAAACAGCATATAGTTGCACTTTCAATGACAGAATACATGAGTCTTACTGAAGCTTGTAAGGAAGCGATATATCTCAGTAGATTACTTCAGGAAATTAAACATGAAAAAGGCCAAACAACAGAAATCTACAATGACAATCAAAGAGCAATTAAACTGTCCGATAATTCAATGATGCATAACAGAACAAAAAATATTGATATTAAACATCATTTCATATGGTTGATGATGGAAAAACTTGTTTTGTATATGTCATGTGAAAAAATGCCGGCCAATATTATGAAAAATGGATTATTAGGATCTAAACACCAGTTCTGTCTCAAAAAACTGGGAATAGATTGTAGATGAGCAACACCAATCACATGTTAAGGGGTAGGGTTAAATAATTTGATAGTATAATCTGCCAACAGTACTTAGTTTGTTGTATTTTTTATATACTTGTTTTCAAGCGCAGATGGCGCACTGACATTTTTTGATGTTTTCAGTTTCGTTTTCTCTGTTTTGCATCATGTAGCCTTTATCTAAGATTAAAAGAAATAATTTAATAAATTCTGGTTTTTTATTTTTAACATGGACCCCACAACTAGGACTTTGCCTAATTCTGACAAAATTTTTTGAAAAATTGTACCATAAGTAAAATTTTTTGTCAATAGAAAAATAATAATTAATGAATGTTTGAAATATCTGGAAGTCTGCAATATTCTGCATTATATTACTAGAGTTAGTAAGTATAATGCTGTATACTGTCATAAAATTTGAGTTCATTTCCTATAAAAAAAAAAAAACAGCAATGAGTTGCTTAACTTTCCTGGCAACATTTGATGGCACCATCTGTTATAATATTTTATTAAAAACTTTTTATATTTTTAACTAATATAAAATGGCAGAAAGTTTAGTTTTGAGGATAGGGATGAGTTTTACAAAAAATTATAAATGCTAATAACGAGTAAAATCGTCATTAAGTCTGACCCTACTGGAGATACCCAACCCCCTTTATCTCCCCACCCCATCAGTCTATAAATCACCAAAATTTAATAGTATCAATCCCACTAATAAACAAATCTCCCTGCAAAATTTCAGAAATTATTGACAAAAAGTACAGGAGTTATTAAGCTTCAAACAGGGTGAACAAAATTTTGCCCTCCCACATGAACTAACATCCATACATACAGAAAAAAACCCTGAAATTTTTTGCATTTCTTTTCAAAATGTCTTGAACCCAAAAATGTAAAAATTTTGGGGGTAATTTTTTTGACCAATCACCATACTTTCTCTCTGTTATATATAACAGCCAGAAAAGTAATAAATTCAGCAGTATAATTATCCTACTAAAACTCTGTAAAACTTCTGTTTAGAGCTAAACATAATAAATTACTCTACTGTATACCCACCTTCTTGTTTACCATGTCATCAGAGAAAACATCTCATTACCTCAAACGTTCATAAACCTAGGTTGTCTAGGTTTACGAACCTTCACCCCTATTATGAGTTAGTGGGGGTTAACTGTATGTACAGGGTATATGTTTCTACTTTCCATTACAGAAATTATATATATTCATTGATTCAAAAGTACTGTTTTAATACTATTTTTAGTGTAGAGAATATTGTGATCACTGTTCATACCTGATTTGGAGTACTCTGAGCATATGGTTGTGGTGGCTGTGGAGGTGGATAGGATGGAGCAGACATTGCTAACAATGACTGTTGCAACTCTTCTAATCTGTATGAAGCTGAAATTGCATTTTTTTAATTAAAAGATTATTTATAATGAATTATAACTTTAGTTAGTTAATCCATATAATTTTTATATAATTTTTGAAAATCATAATTTTGCTTTTATTCAAAGATAAAAAATTTTGAGTACTAAAATTTATTCTAAAGTTTTTTTTTTAATGTATTTCAGAATAATTGGTATAAATTCAGAATATAAATCTTTTTATATTTTAAGTATATTTACAAGCTATTTTCAAAAGGTGATCTGAAGTTTATAAACTTTTGAAAATAAATATTACAGTAGCATATCAGAAGGCAATGTTTTTCAACCTTTTTCTCATCAAGAACCAGTAAAATTATGGATAATTTCACATGGACCAAGTAATTATATGATCTTATAAATTTTGCTTATTTATCAAGCTTATATATGCTTACCTAAAATTATTGTAAATAACAAAGTACATACAGTAACTCTAGATTACTATTTAAATGTCATCTATAATCAACTGTGTCAGTTTCAGTACAGTCAAGTATTTTTCTGCAGACTTGTAAGATTTTTTTTCCCAGACTGGCATCAGTCTGTGGATCAGTGGTTGAAAAACACTGCTGTAAGGGATCTAGATTTCAGTCTGATCTGAATCCTGATGATTTTTCATAGACAGAGGTTGGGGCATCAGTTCATAGTTCAGTTCATAGGTTGGGGCATCAGTTCACATCCCTCATCCACATTGGCCTACCTTATAGCAGGTTCAGTTCACCCAAAATGGATAAATATTGAGAAAACTATATAATACACAGTATTCTGGTACTGTTATTTCAATAAATTGAATAATATTTTCATAAAATATTTATAACAGATTTAAAATAGATTCTTTAATAAAGATTTTAAAATTTTCTTAAAAAACTAAAAAACTTTTTCTTATTTCCTTTTCAGTTCACTTATAAAAAGAATTTAAATAAAACTGGTTAATTAATACAAATATTTATAAATTGTAAAAGAAATTGCTTTGTTAGTTTGACTTTTAACTAATTTTTATGATTTAAATTCTTTGTATCACAGAATTTAAATTAAAAGGTAGTAGTTATAAGTTATTTAATAAGTTTCTTAAACAATATAAATATTTTGAAAATATATGGATTGGATCAGTTTTGCCTTTAAATAGCTATACAAGTATCATAACAAATGATTCAGTTATAGAAGTTTGTACTTCAGAAACACTGAAAATCTGGAACAAAAATTAACATAAATTATTAATAAATTTCTAACAGGTTAATTTTAACTAATATATATATATACATATATCATTTTATTTCTTCTACATGAGGAATCATTTGTAGGAGAGTTTTTAAAGTAGAAAAGTAATCAGTGTTAATAATTGGTAAGACTTATGGATTCATTAGGAATAGAAATATTACCAAAATGAAAATAATGCTTTTACTGAGTTTATTAGTTTCAGTCCTAATTTTATTTAAAAAACATTTCCAATCATTTATATTTAAGTGTAAATTTAAAAAATAATTAACGTTCTAGATAAATTTAATTAAAATGTAATTTTTTTAATTTTAATCATGCACTATGAACAAATTTAAAATAATTTTTGTTGGTAATTAACATAAATTTATTAAATACAGTATAATGAACATAATAAATGATGTTTATAAAGGAAACAAAAAAATAAAAATACATAAATAATAAAATTATTTTCATATATTATTATAATTAGTTTTTAATATATGCTTTAATATACTAAAAAATGATCAAATTAAAAATTATTTAACATTTATATTTTAAAAATATTTTGAAATAGACTTGTTTGTATACATACACAAACCTGGACTAATTGCAGATTGATCAGTAGAGTGCAACTGACTTGAAGAATTTGGTTCATGAGATAATGTTAAAAGTCCATGAGAATCTCGAGAATCACCAGACTGCTGTGCATCAATGTTATCTGCTGGCATTTCACCAATATTGGATTGGTCTCTATGTGATAAATTATTTTGTAAGTGAGATTGCTGAGGTACAAATTGGTACATTGACCGATATTCTAATGTTAAAGGTTCTAACTCTCTACATTTCTTGAAGTCTTTTGTTTGAATGTTCTTTGAAAAGGATGGGCGATCACGATCATAAGATGTATCTGATCTATGTCGTACAAGAATTCGATTCTGATTTTGCCATTCTTGATATCTAAAATGTAAATAATATAATAATTAGTTTCATCTATTAGAACGATTTGAAATACATGAAATTTAATTACTTAACATTTATCAAGACTAAATATTTACCCTAAGTCAGACAGTTGAAAAAATCTGTAATTTGATAAGGAATTTTATATGTAAGTTTTATACAGATAGTAAAGGCATATGAGTCTTAAAATTTGCATTTAATAATTATAAGAATAGAAAGAAATCTCTAAATTTCTATATAAAATATTATCTGATTCATTATTTCAGTCAGATTCCTTCTTCAGTGAGTTCTTAATAGATGGTAAATGAAAGATAGTAAGATTATCAGAGCTTAGAAATTGATAGGTGACAGCTCCTAATAAGCATTTTTATTTCTTGATTTTATCTTTATTACATAGTAATTATATGAATTATTATATATAGTTAAATAATATTTTTATCAAATCAGCACTAATCAAACCATTATAGAAACTAAAAACAATTCTATTAGGGCAGTTGTTTGCCATGCACCCTCCTATTAAACAGTGCATTGCCACCTCTCACTCAGAAAATAGTTCCACTCATTCAGCTGCCACATCTCATGATATGATGATATGCTTTAAATGGCATTGCACTGTTTATCAGTGATGTCACAAATGTGCCTGCATGATAGCAATTAGTTACTGGGCCAGAGCAGAGGCATGCTTTTTAATTTGTGACTTGTAAATATTAATAAGAAAAAGACAAAAGTTTTGAATCTTGAATTAATGTTTTTTAATTAAATTTAAAAAACATATAATATTATTTGTATTATAACTAAGGGCCAGATTTGTATGCAATGCATGGTGTTTTCCTTAAATGCTATGTTAAAACCCTGATATAAAAACAATTTTGGTCCAATTGGATGAAATTAATATTGTTTGATAACACATAATTTATGTGTATTTTTAAAAACACACATAAAATATGCATATTTTACTACATATTGCATACTTTGTAGATTTGACTATTTCCAATATATATATATATATTCTATGAATTTTCAGGTCTAAAAAAGTTCTTTATAAACTTTATGGCTTGTTTACAAGATTGCAGGTACATTCATTTCTGATATCTGTGTAGTGAATCTTTTTTGCACATGTACTGTTTATGTGAGAAATATTAGTCTGACATCCAATTACACACAAAATTCATATGTTTTGAATTTGACAAATCTTAAAAAAAAAAAAAAAAATGTGTCTTAAACAAACACACTTTGCATTGTGATGGAAATATCTCATTTTTCAAATAGTCAAATCCTTTGAATTAATTAGACTAAAATTATTGTATAATCTAATTCCATAATATGACCAACTCACATTGCCTTTCTGCTTTGAACTGGAGTTCATAAAAAACAAATCACCAAACTAAGTGCTTTTGGACCTTTTTGTCCATCCTCAAAGTCACTATCATGCAAAAAAACAATTTTTTCAAACATCTATTTGAACAAATCTTATTTGAAACACATCTGCCAAAGTAAATTTAAATACAACCATCTTTTTATTTTAGAACAACATTCATTTAATTTAAACTCTCTATATTCTTCTGTTTTCTTTTTTATTCTTTATAAATAAAAACTGTCTAATCTTGAAATTCTCCCAGCAGACTGATGAAAGTCCAGAAAAATAAATGCTTTCAATCCACATCTAAGACCTGCTTCAGGTTACAGTTTTCAAAGAAATGGAAAGCCATAGGTTTTATTCTGCATGTTTAATTTTTGAACATTGAAGACTGCTGGGAGAATTTCAAGGTTAGAGAGTTTTTATCTGTATATTATTGCCCAATTTTGTTATGTATCAAACTTTTTTCCACTCTTTATTCTTTCTTATCATCCATTTCCATGCATTTGACAAAGTATCTACATCTTTGATATTTATAACTTCCTTAGTTAAATTTTCTTTGTAAATTTGTAATTTTTATCCATTCATATGTTCTCATCATCATCCACTGGCAATATCACTTTTTTCCTGTCAAACTCCATCTTTACTTCCCTATTATATGCTTCACTGCTAAGCACCACATTCTCCACCTCCTCCATATAGTTTCATGATGCTCCTTTACCAGTTTCATAAGCTTGTCATCACTCTGATGTAAAACTTTTTCTTGCCTCCTACATCAACTAATGGTTTCCCATGCACTCCCATTCTGCTTCGTTCCATACTTTTGTTTTTATCATTCTTCAGGGAGCTGAACACTGTTCTATTTCTCTTAAAACACTATTATCTTACCAATCTTTTTTCTTATCTTCCACCAGATGTTCTTTCTTTGCCACTCAACATAGTAAACCACTATTTTTTCCATCACTTACCCTCCCTCTCTTTCTTTCTTGTCAATGTTTTTCATTGTAAAGTTTTACAGTCCTCCCTATCTCCTCCCCTTCAAACTATAAACCCTGCCAACTTCTGAATTAGATTAATCTATTTCAAATCCTTATGTCTGAATATCATCACCAACACTCTTCATATTAGGACCTAAATTCCACTGTAATATATTGCCACAAGCCATAGGACATGCTCAATATATAAATAGGCTTGTACATGGACATCATTTAATCTGAATCTCTTTTCTTAATTATAACATTCAAGAATGTATCAATACTTTTGATCTCTGCTCTTCAAAAGACTGTCGGCCCAAACTGTCATCTGAAAAACTTCCACAAAACATCCAATTCCCTTTTCTTCCTTCCAAATTACTGTCACCATACTTCATGAGAAATTCAATGGTAATCAGAAACGATAACAGTGTAGGGTGATACAAAATGTACAATATTATCTGCAGCATTCAGATCGTATATAACTTATTAAATTTTGCAAAAACACAAAATCTTGTTGGTTGTTATTTGTTCAAAGTTAATAGTATAATGGAAATTTGTTAATCTGGTACCTAAGGAACCAGGATGGTACCATATTATCAAAAATGCCAGATTAATGGACATTTTTGTATTTTGTAAAATTTAACAAGTTATATATGATCCAAATGCTGTAGATATTGCTGTACATTTTGTATCAGCCCACACTGCTGTATTCTTCTGATTACTATTTAACTATTAAACATATTTGTTTATACATACTCTTTAATCAATCTGAAGACAATATAGTGCAAGACTATACCATGTTAAAATTGATTGAAAAGCCTGCAGAAATATTAATGAACACATTGTAAATGTTAATTTTTTTGCAATAATGATTCATGTGCATATAATACTTATTTTCCAGACATGTACCATACACACGCAATCCACAAAAGCATATGTATGAGATACCAGCATCTAATGAAAAGCCAAATTTTGAAAATTAAAGCTATCATCCAAGAACTTAACCATGTTTTATAGCATAATGACAAGCTTGCCAAATTTTTAAATGCCCTTGACTCTCTGAACTTTCCTGTAACCAAAAGCATTTGTACAGACAACCACTGATTCTATTCTTATTTTGTTTAGATCCCCCTGGCAACTTTCTCATCATTTCCAGCCAAGTAGATTTTGACCCAGTTTCCTCAGTATTATATACCAGAGAGGAAAATAAATCATTACTATCGACTAACTCTCATAAAATACTATGGTAGTCCTCTGCAGCAATATGATTGGAAGATTGCACAGATATCTAGTTTTTGAATTCTGTCATTGTTTGAATCTTTGAAGCCAACCATTGAAAAAAAAACATATCTCAGCAATGTTAATTTTGACATAAATTCTGTTTTGCTTTTTCAATAATCACTTGGCCATTAATTGGTGTTTTGTATTAAACCATTTGTACAAAGTTGCATCTAATTCGATCATTTTGGTTGTCTTAGATAAAGTCTTACCTCTATGTTTAATAGGTATTTTGCTTTCAGGTACAAATGACAGCAGCTTTCTTTCTTCTTTTCATTTCATTGATTTTAACACAGGTCAATAACAATCTTTCAAAATTTTCTGCTATCTTATACCTTTTTTCCAATTTTTTGATGATTTCTATTTTCTTTGTTATACTCAGTACTCTTCTATAGAAGCCTGATGCTGACCCTTGAAAATGTTTGCTTTTCATTTATTTTCATTTATATTGACAGTATTGCTAGAAACACAAAAGGTCAAATTGATGTTTTCTATGTTTCCAGCAATGCTGTTGATATAAACAAAAATATAACAGTCAATGGTTATGTCAAAATTAACATTGTTGAGACATGTTTTTTTCAATGATTGGCTTCAAAAATTTAATAAAAATTAAAATTTTTTTTTTTTAAATTGAATAGTATATTATGCAAAATTTTATGGCACGGCTTTATGGCACAGTTGACACAAACACTGTGGTTTATACAAAATTTTGATTTCCATAAGTACAGCATTATAGGTGTAGTCTAACCAACCACAAAATACCGTATGACAATTTGTTTATAATTAGCAATTATGGCATTCATGGAAATTGGGCACTTGCTCTGCTCATGTGCCAAACTTCTATTCATGCCATAATTGCCTATATTATAAACTAATTGCATAATATACTATTCAATTTTTTTTTAAATTTTTAAATCTTTATTAAAGAATCTATTATAAATCTGTTATAAACAAGAATGGATTTTTTTTCAAGCTCCGATGGTCCATAAAACAAAGACAAGTGTAAATAACAAAATGAATTTATTACCAAAAGTTAGATACAGACATGGTTACTTTTCAACATAATCACCCCGTGAAGATTGAGGAATTTGTCATATCTGTGGACAAGCTTTTCCATCCCCTTGTCATAGAATGTTGCCGCCAGTAAATTGAGATGGCCTTAATAAAGTTGTTTTGAAGATCATCATTAGTCTGAAACCTCTGCCCTGCTAGCCACTTTTTCTGTTCAGGAAAGAGGTGGAAGTTGCTCGCTGCTAAATTGGGGCTATATGCTGGGTGTTTAAAGGTGGTGAAGACTTCCACCCAGTTTGGAACTTTTTAATTTTAGCACCGAGCAACTTCCACCTCTTTCCTGAACAGAAAAAGTGGCTAGGAAGGCAGAGGTTTGAGACTAATGGTGATTTTCAAAACAACATTAGGGCCCATCTCAAGTCATTGGCAACAATATTCTATGAAGAGGGGATGGAAAAGCTCGTCCACAGATATGACAAATGCCTCAATCTTCACAGTGATTATGTCAAAAAGTAAT